ACCCTAAGCGTCAGGGCCAACCCAGGCTGAGAGGGATAGAACCTCCCATTAGAAAGACTGGGATACTTGATTAAAAAATGTACCCTCTCTGGAATTGAACGCATGTCTCCTGCATGCGACAGCGAAGTGTCTAGCCGCTACACCACAGACGTCGGTGTGGCCGATTCTATCAGTGATATTCTTCTCTTCTGTCTATCCGTTCTAAGTCACTCTATCTTTCTAGAACTCTCTCTCTTACAAGAATTGAGGGACTCTTTGTGATATAGCGGGTAGGCGCTCTACTGTCACACGTAGAAGACCAAGTTCGAAGCCTAAGAAAATGGGAGGAGAAAATCTTCATCGAGTGTCTTTCTGGTAGGATGTTGTATCATTCTCAGCCTGGGTTGACCCTGACGGTAAGGATCGGAAGCCAGCCTCTTGAATGACATTATATTGTGACGAATGGAGCATTAAAAAACCCAAACATTTAAATTAATAAAGAAGGTATTTTGAAGCAACTTGAGCAGCTGCTGTTATTTTGTACGGCAGTAAACGTTACGGATGTGATCTGCACAATTTTTTTCACCGATTGCCTACTCATTACTAGTATTAGCTAAGAGCATTTTCTTACCTCTATCTGACTGGCGTCGGTGGTTAGCGGATTGTTATTTCGCTGTCAACACGTAGGAGACATAATAATGATAAAATAGCATTCATATAGCGCATATCCCCGCTTGACAGCAAGCTTTAAGCGCTTTCCATACAATAGTATTACCCCAGCAGACCTTAGGACACTCAGACACATTCTCAGCTTCCATGGAAGCATGCAGTGCAAGCGGTTGATTCAAACTGACAAGATCTTTCGCTGTCTATGGCCGGGTACCTGTTCCCAACTTGGTTAAATGATTAAAATCCGTGTAAAGTGCTGTTCCCAAGGAAACAACGTCGGGCCCCTGACCAGATTCGAACCCACGACTTTACAGTTGCGAGTCTGGGAGCCTAACCACTGAGCCACCGACGCCACATGAGTTCGATACCCGTGTAAGGAGAATTTTAATGGAGTATCTTCGTCTGTCTTCTGGGATGGTGCTTTCCTTCCAATCCAGGTTGAGCCTGATAGCCCGCCTCCTCCTCACCATCTTCATCCAGTGCCAGATCTGCGACAGACATCGGCGATCATGGTTCTCCATTCATCCCTTTGCTCGGATGCTCTTAAAAAACCCAAGTGCACTGGGTTTTTCCCTGTTACCCATTTGTTTAGGTTCCCTAAGTGGATTGCCCTGGGCCTACCCCTGCCTCGTTTCTCTTCCGTTTTGCCAGTGAGAGCTAGATGTCCCATACCTTTATGTCTAGTCATGTGTCCCCAAAACTGCATAATTTGTCTTTTCCAGATTTTTAAATGCCTCAAAAAAATTATATAGATAGTGTTGATGTGTGCATAAAACTTTTACTATTACATTTTTCGTCTATCCATTATACTCAATTAAGCACCTGTCTTTTCGTCTGTCCGCCACTTCTACCTGGCTACACTTTTTTCTTCTTTCTATCCATTCTACCTAACTACTCTTCGTTCATCCCGTCTAAACATTATACTTACCTACGTCTTTTTCTTTTTATTCATTGTATTTAATAGTTCCATCTTTCCTTCTGTCTCTCATTCTACTTTACTGCGCTTCTTTTCTTCTGTCCATCCATTCTACATAAACCCCGCCTTTTCTTCTGTATAAACATTCGATTTATTGATCCTCCTTTTCTTAATCTGTCTGTGCATTTTACATGTCTACTAGTCTTTCCTTCAATCTACACAGTATACGTAACTTCTCTTCTTTTTCTGTCTATTCATTCTAGTTCGCATTTTCTTTTGTCTATCCATTCTACTCAACAACTGGTCTTTTTTTCAATCTATCTATTCTCCTTTACCACTCGTCTTTTCTTCTGTCTATCCAATCTACGAGTCAACTTGTCATTTCTTTTGTCT